CCACCCCCACGCCGGGCCGGGAAGGTGCGGGCCGCACGGGGCCGCTGCGGAGGGCGCGGGCCGGGGGCCTCTGCCGAGGGCCTCCGCCAAGGCTCCTCCAGCCGCGCGAAGGCCTCGCCCGGGCCGGCTGCGGGGCTGGGACCCGGAGGCTCGGGGTCTGCGCTCGAGGGGTGACGGGGAGCGGAGGACACTGCAGGAGGCCACAGGCTTTGGGGGCGGGGAGCCAGGGAATCGGGCGAAACCTGGACCACTTTTAATTTTTCAGGAGCTTAGGAAACTCATATTTTTATTCCCAACTCAGCCTTCCTTGGCATGTTAGTTGTGATGAATGAAGCTCCTTGACTTGTTTCGTTTTTTAAAAAGTGATGCATGGCGTGTATTTTAAGGGAGGAAAGGAGGCAATCGTTGGCATAGCGTTTTCCTTAGAATTTTCATTTCAGCCATTGTCGTGTTTACTGAAAACTCAACGTGTATCACGTATAAGCCTTAGGGACCAGGCCTTGTATAATGGGGATCTTTGGAGGGCCCTCTCCCAAAGCCTCAACACCGCATCTCTTCACAAATACACTTACAGAGCTGTTCAGGTGATTGCTGGGCGAATGGTTTACCGCAAACCCAAACTGCACCCATTGGCCAATTAACAGAAAGGAAGCAGAAGAGACCCTTGGCCTTGAGTTTGCAGTATGAAGAGTTAAATTCTGCAACAGAATGGACAAGTGGCAGACTGGAGCATTGCTTGAACACGAGTACTCCAACACACATGATCACAAGCCAAGAAATCTGGGAGGGTGGCTTGAGGTGGGAAGGAGAAGAAGTGAAGGATTCTAGGAAGTTTCCTGATGTGATTGACATTTGTTTTGCATTAGAGATGAACACTTTTATAATTCAGATCTACTTTCCAAATAGTCTGAAATGGTGCTTGGGTAACAGACATCTGCCCCTGAGATTTCCCGAATTCTCCTGTCACACATCAGTGGCTGCCGTCACTTTGAGAGGTTTCACAAAAAGAGCATAGTCGGCTTTTGGCTAACTGCCTCCGTGTAATTACCCATGTTTGTTTTAAAACAATTTCATGATGTTAGTCTACAGAATCCAATGTTGATAAGGGAAGACTATCATAACTAATAGCTAGCTGTATCTTCTTGTTTTTCTGCACATTACAAACGCTGGCAAAGACTGAGAGATTATCATCTTCATCCTCCAGTTCTTTGGCAGGACTGGACTTAAGCCATGCCAGACAAGAGTGTCTATCCTTAAAGAACCTTGGTTTATCTTACTTTGAGATATTATGAGTTGTCTGGGAAAACAGTTCTTTTCTCATGAAATGTAATGGTCATTCTTTGGGCTGATTATTGTAAATAACACAAGTACTTTAAGATCCTTATGTGGAAGAGCGACGAAGCAGTGAATTCAGTGACTTAATGAAATGAAGTAGGGATTGTATACAGTACTTTAAAAACCCATTTATAGAAGACTTCGTGCTCTTTCTCACTGACGCATGTCAGTATCTTTCAGTCCCAAATGGTCAGTTCTGTAGTTTCTGCCCCTTTCCTGTTGTGCTTTCCTCTTTCCTCCTCTGATGTGTTCTGTCTTCCTGCATTCTTTGGGTAACGTAGTAGCTTGTGTTTGCTCTTTCTGCTGTCATGATGCTCACTAAAGGATCCCTCTTCTGTGTATACAAGGGGGCTGGGATTCAGGCGTGAAGAAGCAAAGTCGTGGTTAAAGGCGTGCTTACTTGTTACTTGCTTCTACTGACCAGCCCTTGAACCTTTGGATTCATTTGTCCCTTGAATTATTTCTCTTCCCTTCTATATTTGGAATGGAGAGCATCATGATTAATTCATTTTGTGGGTGGGGATGGGATGGATTGCCATTAAAAGAGAACATTTATGTTTGATTCTGTAAAGAGATACAGAAAACTTTAAAAACTTTGTAATAGGGGCATTTATTCTTTTTTCTTTTTAACAGTCAAATTTCTAGAAGTTATCAAACCTTTCTGTGCTGTTCTACCAGAAATTCAGAAACCCGAAAGGAAAGTAAGTAGACTGTTTTGGTAATCTAGAGGGTAGCTGAATGACTAACTCTGTGAAACTAGCTACATTAATTTATTTTCCTCAACCTTTTTCTGGTTGTGTTTGGAGAAACACTACCTGTTCCTCCTCCTTTCAAGAGGAACAACGTGAATGAAACTAGTATAGACCTTTTAAATCTAGGTGGACTGTCTCCTGGTTTCAAAATGACTGTTCTGTAAGTTGTAACATTTCCAAACCAAGGGTTTCTTTGGCCTGTGTGTTGGGTAAAATACAGAATTCTCCTCTTGTGATCCACTGCGCTCGGAATGACCCGGTCTGCTGGGTTGTTTTACATAAATGGATTGCGGCTGTGCAAGTATATACCTCCCATGTCTTGATTCATTCAGTGCAAAGAAAAATCACAGCAGTGCATTCAGGATATATTGTGACCGCATCAGATTGTCTCTCCATCACTGTAAGCTTTTGGAGCTGAGGCATTTAAGTTCCAGAAATATTGTTAATCCCAAACTGGCCAGTTCCCAGACATTCCTCTTCTACTGTACTTGCAATTTCTCACAAAACTAACCAGAATAGGGACATAGAGAGAAGCAAAACTTTTGTTAAAATTACTGTTTCCTTTAGAGCTATATTTCTTTTTTTTTTATTGCTTTGAGGTTATAAAAATACTTGTTCCAATTACATGTAAGGCATCGGAAGAAACTCTTGCTTTTCATATTCTGTGAAATATCTGTATTACAGGCAGGCCTAGCTTTGTACAATACGGTGTTAACTGAAATGTGTGCATTTTGGATCTGTCTTTTCATCCTTTTCAGTTTCAGTTAAATGGTAAAATGCATTGAGGCCTGCCTGTATTTAAATTACCTAATTCTTGGAAAAGTAAAGAAAGTTATGTTTGAGAAGTTCAGCTGTTTGCTTTAGCTGCTACTAACTAGGTTGAGAGTATTTTAAGAGTAAGTAATAGGAGCATGTCATGATGAGGAATGTTGGTTAAGCTTTAATATGGATTTTTGCTTTGTATTTGCTGTTTCTTGGTTTTGAGTGATCATTCTTTGTATTTTGTTGCACAGATCCAGTTTAGAGAGAAGGTACTGTGGACTGCTATAACTCTCTTCATTTTCCTAGTATGTTGTCAGGTACGTAACCATAATATTATATAAATGTCTATACTGTTGTTCTAAGTTCTTGGTTGGTTATAATTCAAGAAACTTATTTTAGTTAAAATAATAAATATACTGGGGGGTGGGAGGGGATAGACTGGGATTTCAAAATGTAGAATAGATAAACAAGATTATACTGTATAGCACAGGGAAATATATACAAGATCTTATGGTAGCTCACAGAGAGAAGTGTGACAATGAATGTATATATGTTCATGTGTAACTGGAAAATTGTGCTCTACACTGGAATTTGACACAACATTGTAAAATGATTATAAATCAATAAAAAATGTTAAAAATATACTGAATTATTTTAAGCATCATTCTTCTTGATCTGAGTTGATAGTGAAAATGGTTGTCTTTTTCTGCTGTCTATTTCTTTCGGTTTACTGGTGGGTTTGAATGTTATTTCCTTTTTTTCCTTAGTTTTCTGTTAATGATCCTTACCCATTTTCTTCTTGAGCTTTTTAAAAATTGATCTATGACAGGTTTTTATATATAAAAGTGTTAAACCTTTGACACGTATAGTACAAATATTTTTTCATTTTGTTTGCTTTTAATCATGTTGTAAATAACAGGTATTATTTAGAAATTCCCCAAAATCAAATTCTAGAACCCCAGGGATATACTGTGTTTATACATTAATAAAGTTCAGTGATTTTTTAAAATAAAATTTTGCAGAGATTAAATTCATAAAATGAGGATAAAACGTGACCTTGCCCATCTCACAGGGTTGTTGGGAGGAATCAGTTAGATAATTTAGGTAAAGTTTTAGCAGATTTTGAAAAGTACCAATATACACATAAGAAAGTTTTAAAAAATTATATTAGGAAGCAATAGAACAAATAAAGTCTATGAGCTGACGAAAAGCCAAATGTATTTTTTTGAAAAGTGAAATGATTTGATCATTAAAATATTTTAGTATTCTACTTAGGTGAAAATTCTTCTGGGTGGTCAGGGAGAATGAACTTTTAAAGAAGTAGGAAAGTAGAAAAAAAGAAGAATCATCCACATTCCTACCATCTTGTTTTGGCATCTTGGACATTCCCCCCTTTATTAAAAAAAAAAAATCAACCTTTTCAAGGTGTAATTTTTGTACAGCAAAATGCACTCATTCATTACTTTTTTTCTTTTTTATGTGTTTTTTCTTCCTTTTTTTCACTTTTTTAAGTGCACACTTTGAAGAGTTTTGACAAATGTCCAGACACCTACGTACCTACTACCTCAGTAGATATAGAGCATTTCTGTTACTCCAGAATGTTTCTTGTCATCTTTCTTAGTCCGCACCTCAGTCCCAGGCAGCCACTGATACGCTTTCTGTTTCTGTGATTTGATGTGTCTTTTCTAGACTGTCATGTAAATGCAGACTTACAGCATTACTCCTTAGTGTCTGACTTCTGCATCAGCTTTTTGAGATTCATCCATGTTGTCCCTGTGGCAGGAATTCATTTCCTTCTCATTCTCAGGAGTATCCTGTGTGATCGTATCACAGTTTGTTCATCTTGTCACTTGGTGGACGTATGGGTTGTTTCCAGATTTTGGCTATAACAGAATAAGTTGCTGTGAACATTCTTGTACAAGACTTTCTGTGGGTATTTGTTTTCATTTCTGTTGAGTAAATGCCTAGGAGTAGAATTGCTGGGGTTTATGGTAAATATATATGTTCAACTTTGTGAAAAATTAACTCTGTCCCAAGTGGTCGTGCCAGCAGGTATAGGAGTTCCAGTTGCTCTGCATCCTTGCTTACTCTTGGTATTCCTGAGCGTTTTAATACTAGCCATTGTAATGGGTGAGGTGTTTTTGTTTTTTTTAATTGAAATATAGTTCATTTATAATACTGTGTTGGTTTCAGGTGTACAGCAAAGTGATTCAGTTATATATATATTTCAAATTATTTTCCATTATAGGTTATTATGATATTGAATATAGTTTCTTGTGCTGTACAGTAAATTCTTGTTGCTTATCTATTATATGTATAGTGGTTTGTATCTGTTAATCCCATTCTCTTAATTTATCGCCCCTTTCCTTTCACCTTTGATAACCATAAGTTTGTTTTCTGTGTCTGTTAGTCTGTTTCCGTTTTGTATATAGATTCATTATAAGTTAGTTTCAAACTTAATTTTGGGGGGTGGATTAGGTAGGTAGGTTTGTTTGTTTATTTTAAAGGAACCCAGTACCTTGTGCATGCTAAGAATGCACTCTACCACTGAACTATACCCTCCCCCAACAAACTTCATGTATATAACACAGTTTTATAAAATACTTTATGTAATCTTACAGATACCACTATTTGGAATCATGTCATCAGATTCTGCAGATCCTTTCTACTGGATGAGAGTCATCCTTGCATCCAACAGAGGTCTGTGCTGCTATTCTTTCTCCCCCGTGCTAGTACTGACATCAAATAGATGTGGAAATGTGGAAACAACTGTTTTTTGATGTCTATGGGGAGGATATGGTAAAAGAAACTCATTGTCTCGGAGACGAGACCAACATGGAAGTAATTACAAAACTGTGTATTTATTGTAATAATGGAAATACACACAGAGTGTAAAGGCACAACAGAATGGAGTGATGAGTACTATCTAGAGCTTTGTGATGTGTTCTCTCCCTAGAAAAATGCAGGTAGTATACACTCCTACGTGCAGGTTTTCCATAAAATCTCAGGAGATCTCGTGGACCCTCTGACTCGTAATCTTGGGTTTGTCATGGGACTGAAAGACCCTGATGTGCAGTGTCAGGGAGGAGGTGATGCTGGGAGAGCATTTGAGTTGGAGTTCAGCCTGCGGACCGATGCGAGAGAGATGCCCAAGTGAAAGCGTGAGGCCGCAGGACACAGGCTGGGGGTTTGGGCAGGGGATGCTGCCCTGTGAGGCTAAGAGACAGGAAGGGGCTGGATCAGGAGGGGCTTTTTGAGTGATTTTTTTTTTTATATTGAGAAAGTAATATTTGTTTGTTATAAAAAAAATGCAGTGACATTTCAAATTGATATAAAGCTGAAAATGAAAGTCTCACTTCTCAGGGATAACTCCAGGGAAAATGACAGGTGAATATCCATCCAGACCTTTTCTCTGGTGTATTCACATCTGTGAGTTTATATACTTCTTTTAAACTGAAAAAGAAGGTCTGCTATGTAACTATTCTGCTACTTGGTGTGTTATTTAATATCTTTGATGAGATATTTCATTGATGGCCGTATACATATCCATTATATGGATATGCTGTGATTTATTTAATCATTCCTTTAGCAGGTATTTGTTCAGTTCTTACTATGAGCTCAGCTTTGTGCTCAGTACTGAGATTAGCAGTCGTCAAGGCAATGTCCTTGTTGTCATGAGGTTATCATTATTCTACCTGAGTCTACATGAAGTGTGTCTTGAAAGAGGTAAGGGGCACTTGAGCAGAGACCTGCAGGACAGAGAGAGAAGGCCATGTGAAGATCTGGGGAACATTCTAGGGATAGCAAGTGCAAAGGCCCTGAGGTGTGAGTTTGCTTAATGTGTTCCAAGAACAAAGGAGAAGACAGTGTGGCTGGAAGAAAATGAGGGAAGGGGGAAATGTGGTAGGATGTGATGCTGCAGATGAGTCCAAGAGCCAGATCATGAGCTTAATTATCTCCCAGAAGCCTTGTATTATCTTACACACTCTGCTCTGGTGTGTGAGAATGACTGTTTCTCTTCTACCAGCGGATGACATTTGTCCTTGAGTCTTTGTGTCAGTCAGACAGACACACATTGGCGTCTGCTGTCTCATGTGCTGTGAGCTTGAACGTCCTCTTATGTTTTGGCTAAGTTTCAGAGTTACATAGTACAGATTTGGGGGCTGGGGTCCTCTCCTATATCTTCAGTATTTTCCTGAGAAAGAGCATTATTGGGAGTGACCACATCATCTATCTCTTTTTAAATTTTTCTATATTTCTGTGTGTTTTTTTCCCCTCTGTTTTCCGTGGTGTACCATCCATCCTTGAGCCTGTCTTGGACCCAGTAGTTTGTACCTCCCACACCCCCACCTCTGTGTCGCCCCTCTCCCCGCTCCCTACTGGTAACCTCTGTTGTTCTATACATCTGTAAGTCTGCTTCTTTCTTGTTATATTCATTAGTGTGTTGTATTTTTAGGTTCCACATACAAGTTATATCATACAGGATTTGTGTTTCTCTGACTTATTTCACCTTTGTTGTTTGTTCATTTTAAAATTCATCTGTAGGAACTCTTTGCCTGTTAGAGATCTGAGCTCTTTGTCGCTTGTGTTTGAGTATTTTTCTTTTACCTGTCCTTTGCCACACGGAGGTTTGTAGTTGTATCTGGTCAGATCGTCCATCTTTTTCCTTGTGGCTTTTAGATATTTCATCATGTTTAGAAAGGCTTTATCTTTTTCGAGATTAGAACCATACTCACTTCTAGTACTTCTGGTACCTTTGTTTTTTGTCTTTTATGGTTAAATGTTTTTAAATATCCAGCCTTTATTTTGGTGTAAGTCATGGGGTAAGGAATCTAGGCTTAATCTTCTATAAATGGCCAGTCATTTGCCAAGGCCCATTTATCCTTCTTTTCCCTACTGAGTTGAAGTGCCGTGTTTCCTAAGTGAAATGTTTATTAAAGCATAATTGGATTAATTTTTAGACTAGATCCATTTGATAGTTACAAATTTTGGTGATTTGATGTAAAAAGAAATCTACCTACCTGCCCACTAGCTTTAAGAATAGAACATGTTTTTATCTTTTACCACTGAGGAAGTATCTAAGAAGACATGAAGAATCCTTTTAAGATAGAATCTTTTCTCACATTAAGGGCACCTTTTCAGCATTTATAAAAGCCAGGATTCAAGGTTGTAATCTGAGTGGGGAGGGTATAGCTCAAGTGGTAGAGTGCATGCTTAGCATGCACGAGGTCCTGGGTTCAATCCCCAGTACCTCCTCTAAAAATAAACAAACATAATTACCACCCTCTCCCTGCCTCCCCCTCCCCCCAAAAAAAGGTTGTGCTCTGACAGAATGACCACATGGTCTTGGCTGTGTGGAATTACTTCATTCTGCATAGTGTCTTATACACTTGGTGTATTTGGTTTTCTTATTTTTTTAATTAAAAGCATAATGCATGTTTTTTGTAAAGAAAAACTTAGAAAATAGAAAGGCAAAAAAAAGTTTTTTGTCCATAATCTCACTGGGTAAAAATAACAATAAAAACATCTTGATAACCAGACTAAAATAACAGGAAATGATTTTCCACTTAAATATTAAATGAAATCAAACTGTACATTATTGTTTTTGAATGTTTTTTCCTATTTACAGTGTCATTAACATTTTTCACACCTCTAAATATTCTACAATATTGATTTTGATGACTTTATAAGTTTAGATTTTATATTAGGGGAATCACAAATATTCTTAAATAGAATTTTTTATTAACTTTATTTAATTTTGGGGCTTATATGTAATTTTAAAATTTTGCGTTAAAATATTTAGTATAAATTTCAAAAATACAATGATATGGATGGAAATCTTGGCCGATTTCTTTCAAAGGTTTTTTTTAACAGTTTAAGTTTAGATTTTACAGGAATTTAAGTTTTATAGTTTTTATAGTTTTTATAGTAATTTTGATTTGTTGCTTTATTGTGAGGTTGTGTTAACAAATAAGAGGGTTTTTTTTAGCAATTAATATTCAACAGATGAAAATTTGCTTGTTAACATTTAAGCATGTATTTCAGTAGACATGATTAAGGGCTGGGACACTTAAATTAATCTGCATTGGGTATAGTAAAGATTGTTTACTTCTTTCCCCTTCCTTTCCAGGAACCTTAATGGAATTGGGGATCTCCCCAATTGTAACATCCGGTTTGATTATGCAGTTGTTAGCCGGAGCCAAAATCATTGAAGTTGGAGATACACCCAAAGACAGAGCCCTATTCAATGGAGCCCAGAAACGTGAGCATTAACACAATTAAATAGCCTTTTCCAAATTTGAGAATTCCGTGGTTAAGATTCTTCTAGTCCCTTTTGTCTTTGATTGTAAGCGTGTACTCCTTCCTCCCCCATTTTTGTCAGTGTTTGGTATGATCATTACCATTGGGCAAGCCATTGTGTACGTCATGACGGGCATGTACGGGGACCCTGCCGAAATGGGCGCCGGGATCTGTCTGCTCATCATCATTCAGGTGAGGAAGCCTGCGTTTTAACATACACATGCCGGAGACAGTGTGATCCTCTTTTCTTTTGTAACAATTCTTTAGGCAATTGATATGTTCCTTTTCTTACTTCTGAATTATTTTACTCATAGTGTTTTGACTATTGTAAAAAATTTAAATTTATTGTAATAGCCTTGTAGATGTGTAAATAAAAGGATTACAGATCAACTGTATTCCACTGATTCTAAGATGCACGTTCCTCACATTTTGATGTCTCTCTGAAATGAGGATGTTTTGTTAGAGCTGCTAGTGTCCTACAGTTGGGGTCAGGCTGCAGTTGTGACAGTCACGATTGCCTATGGTGTGTGTCAGTAGGTTCACAGCTGTTACATTGTCGGTATATGACGCATACATACATACACTTGAAATAACGTGTCGGTGAGTTGTAATTGCTGTTTAAAATGTCTTCCAACAATCTGCTGTAATTTGTTATTGAAATGAAAAGTTATCGTGTATAAAGGCACAGAAAGAGCAAGCTAGATGGTAGACATCTATGTCTAACTCTAAGCTTTTTTCATAAGTAGAAAATAAAAGTTCTTTGTAATAAGTTATTGTGTCATAGTTAATTGGCAGTATTTTTTTCTTTCTTAGTGCTACACAAAATAATGGCATTACAAATAATACTACCTTATGGTCAGTGAAATACCACATAAACATACCTACATCGAGTCTGTGGAGTTTTAAATGGGTACTTTGGAATGGAATTTTTAAAGGCCAACATAATTCTCCCTCTACTAAGTATCTTAAAATATGTAAAATTTGAAGATATTTCTCTAAGGTATAATCCTTTAAAACTCACGTAGAGAATTTACCCAAGAACAGATTGTACTTGAGTTACATAACAGTTATTTATTGGATTTTGAAAAGAAGTTTGCTTACATTAAACACAACATCTAGAGTCCTGGTTATCTTGGAAATGCCTCTTACTCACAATACAAAATTAAGCTTAATTTAGGAAATTTTTTTTTAATGATCAAAAGGATCAAGGCCAGAAAATAGTTTAAAATAAAACTAAAATACCAGTTTTTGTGTGTGTGTGTGTATATATATATATAGAAGGAGAAATAACGACCATTTCAGACTGGCATGGTTGACCGTCTTTTTTTCATAGGAAATCTTACATAGGAAGCAAATCATAGTAAGAAGATCGCTGAGTGAGTGTGATTGAGAGCCAGGAGAATGGGATTGTTGAAGTACTTATTGGATATCATTATCAATACAGAGGGCTTTTCTAACGAAATGGAAATATTTTGTCTTTTGACTTGGGGGGATTTTTAATGGACTATTTTATTAGGTAGTTTTCTGAGTCCCAATGCGTTCCCATTTGGTATACATTACATTTCTTTAAGGAATGACATTGTCTTATTTCTCCATTTACAAAATACTTGACTGGCAAATTTATAACCCTTCTAACAGGAAGCAGAGTTGCAGTGGATGGGGAGAGCAGACCCTCTGAAAGCTGGCTGTGGTGTCTTTCAGTGCTCTGGCTCTCTTCACGTGCTTGTGGGCATGTGAGGAAACTGATATACCCCTTGTTGGCTTATTTTGTATCTTTCTAGCATTTACTTTATGACTCTTGGTTAGAATAACCCAGATTTTTAAAAGACATTCAGAATTGGCATCTAGCTCTTAGAATGTCACGCATCAGTAACATTTCTGTAGAATTTTAGTAAAGGTATGTCTGTAGTCTTAAGGAACCTCAGCTGATTGATTCTGGGTTAGTTAGTTCCAGTTCAAGTTGGTTGACTTCTTGTGAAGTCAGTTATGCATTTGAATTGCTATAAAATGGAGTTAAGCTGTATTTTTTTTGCAGTACAGGAAATGAAGGAATAGTTAAGTTCCAGGAACGTAACAAGTCGAGTGGATATGTGCTAGGCTGCGTAAGTTCTGGTGCACAGATATTTGTCTTGTGCTTACTTGGTTAACTACAGAGAGATCTTTCACGTTTGATCACTGGTGGGTAGTGACCCGCTGTGCCTCTTTAAGGCCTTGCTAACCTCGACAGTGTGTGGATACACAGCAGACTTACGATTGGATCAGTATGTTTTCACCTAGAAATTTTGAAAACTATTTGCATGCTGTTATGTAAGGGGCTTTTCACCTTAATTATTCTTGATTCATACACATGGTCAGTGTTTTTCCACTAGTGAGTTTTGAAATCAGAATAGTGGGTCTTGATTAAAATTTTTAAAACGAATAGGAAGTACCAGTGTGCACGGCACATAGTAGAGGTGAGTATTGTTTTGTCACCCTGGGTCATGTGTGTGCTGTGTGTGTGCTCGCACGCATGTGCCGGGTTGAAATGTAGTAGTATTTTTATACCTTTAGAGATGTGTATGTATTGAACATTCTAGAAAAGCATAGTTAGTATTCAGTTTTATTTTTTTTTAATCACTGGTTTCTAGTCAAAGAGATGCTGTCA